AGGAAAATGTAAGGGGAAAAGTATAGTCCTTTTCTCACACACGTGAGTAATTACTCACATGAATGCTACCACTGAATCCAACAGGACTCATGGAATTAAATGTTCACCTGTGTAAGAAACTCACAACTGTTCCTTTGTGCTTGATGTTGCTGTGGTGACCAGTTGAGATATGTTAACATATTAGGGTTTTTAAATGACTTATATTAATGTGATCAGGTACGTTGATTGCAGTGGGATCAAGTGAGCTGAGATTAGTAGTGGAAGGCTATCTAAAAGAAGTGAGATTTGAAACAACTATTCAAAGGAAAGGAGGTGATAAGGCCATACTAAGGGATGATCTGAGACAAAACGTGGAGTCCCTGCAGCAGCAGGAGATGACGAGATGATTAGCAGACAGTGAGGTCTTGGGACAGGTGTACGGAATGCCTGTATTCCTCTATTCCTAGATCCGCTTCTTCACATCTCTGTGATTGTTTCTCCTCTCATCCATTGTCTGTTTAGACTAAGTTCCTTGGGGCAGGAGCTGTCACTTTACATATTTGTAAAGTGCTTGTATAATAGAGCCCTGATCTCAATTGGACCTGTAATCCTACTGCAATACAAATAATTGATAATATGAATAATCCAAGCAGCTACAAATGTGAAAGGAGTGCAAAGAAATCCAAAAAAGCCTGCTACTACTTCTTCAGAAATTCTCAGCTCTTGAGGATGTGTAATGGAAATACATATTTATTTTTTCCTTGGGGCTTATTCTTACAGGTGTTCCTGGGCTAACAAGGAACAATGCACTGCTAATGAATAATTGTGCTCTTGATTTACCCATTGTCTTTTTTTTAACTTGTATAGCACTTTACAAAAGTGAACTATTTTTATCCTCAGTCCACCTTTGAAGTAGCTGACTATAACTGTCTCCATTTCATAGCTGGGAAAAGCAAGGCCTGGCACAGTCAAAGGACTTGCACAAGAACACAAAGTAATGAGATTTCCTGACACACAGTCCTATGCCCAGACCTCTAGATCATGATGCTTCTCCAAGTATATTTACTTTCAACTTTTTGGGGTAGAAAGGGGCTAATGATGAACTCTTAATTTAGGCAGAACTAACTAGCCCTTCACGATCCATGCATCAGGAGTTTTCCATTAAATAAGGACTGTTCTTAAAGAAATGCAAGATTTGATCCATGAGCATGTGCTGGATTTGCTAGACAGATATAGTATTTATAGACCTCTGTAGAGCTGCCTGGCTTCCATCCATCCTGAAATGTTACTGTGCAGGATGGTACAGTCTCAAATAAAGCCAAGATGAGTGTTTAATGGTTTTATTCATGTCAGCTTTCTTTATTTAATTAGTTTTCCTGTGTAGTGCAATAATAGGGCTCATAATGAACATCATCCTAATGATTTCCCTGAATGCTTTGAGAGCATGGTATAATGAACAGAGATTTGGCCATACTGTATATATTACATTATGAAATTTGCGATGGGAGTATTATTTCAGGAACCTTTTAGGCAGGAAATTGAAATCTGAGAAATTGGGCACTTAAAGAAGAACGTCAGGAGTACTAGATGGGGGGGAAAAACAAATGAAAGCCTGAAAGATATAAGTGCTAGAAAGATAGGAGAGTTTGAGAGAAGCAATACAGAGAAGGGTGAAAATGATTTGGATCTCAAAAGAAACACTATTGCCTTGGAAAGAAAATGTATCTGTAATACAAGAGCTCAGTGTTTCCATCCTCTTCTTGTTCCTAAATCTCTAACACACACACACACTTCACTTTCTCTCTCCTTTCTACTTGCAGCTCAAGAGATGGCATGTGGATGATTAATCCCTTTGCAAATGCCAGTGTTACACTGTGGTAATAAAAATAGCAGTACTTTTAATCCATTGTTACAGAGGAGCCATTGTAAACACCTGTTTCATTTTATGGGATATTTTATTTTGTATTTTATTTTCATAATATGTACTTAATTTTAGAGTTCTTATCATTATCAGTGTTATATCTGGATGTCACTGCAACAACACTGAAGTAGATGATGGTAATTTATAATCCTTCCACATAGATATTATTAGAATGGGAAGAAGGAAGAAATCTGAAAAAAGGATAATTTCAAAAGGTTCCATGAAAAGAACTCATATCATCTGAAATGGGAAGTGAATTTGGCATGCAGTGTTCTCGCAAAGTCAAGTCTGACAGCTGTACATCTTCAAATATAAAAACATTAACGAAACTTTAAAAATTAAAGAACTCTGCAGCTGCATATTCTGTAGATGTTATTTCTGAGGATTATGTTCATTGAAAAATATTGCTCTTTGCTTTTTAATGCTAACTGTATGGATGTTAACTTGAACTAGTCTAACAGTTCTATCAGTGTACAGGCAGTCCCCGGGTTACATGGATCCAACTTACATCGGATCCCTACTTACAAACGAGGTGAGGCAACCCCACATTAGCTGCTTCCCCCCAGCAGACCAGGGAGACGCAGAGCGGCTTTTCTCAGTAGACACCTCAGCTTGAGAATAAAGGACTGAGGGAAGTGAGGTGTGGAAGAATAAAACTGAGCTCTGGAGAAATGTTTGGCTAGAGTTTCCCCTACAATAAGCACCAGTTCCGACTTACATACAAATTCAACTTAAGAACAAACCTACAGTCCCTATCTTGTATGTAACCCAGGGACTGCCTGTATTTATAATTTTTTTATTTGCAAACTGCCCGTGATTTTTCTTTTTTGTTTTTCTTTTTTGTTTCATTTTTTTTGTTACCATTTTGTTCATTGTTTTCTGTTAGTCAATGAACTCTTCATGCAAACAATTCATCTTACAGGGTATATGGAGAAGTACTACTCCTATTCTCGCAGGAAAGGAGAGAAGGACCACTAGGACTTCCCCCAAAGGGGCTGACAACAGGTACTATGGCTACAGGGCTAATCGGGGGAGGGTGTTGCCCAGAGCTCAGGTGAGTCCGTACTTGGTCAGATAAGAATCCAAGTTTAAAGTTCTGAGCCCTTGATATTCCCCCATCACTGGTTTTATTTTTGCCATTTTTGTTGGCAGTGGCTTCTTTCATTGATCTCAAAGAACTCTATAAAGACCAGTGGGTATTAATATTCTGATTTTACTGGGAAGAAACTGAGGTGCCTTTGTCCAAGATTATAAGGCAAATGCATGACAGAGCCAGGTATAAAGCCTGTCTTCTGACTATCCATATAGTACCATACCTTGCTGCTTTCCTGGCTTTCTTTCACTGATCCCAAACAGAACACACAGATGTTTGCATCCTGACTCTGCAGTCTACATCAGTGAGCTGGAAACTATCAGAAGTTTCCAGTTTGGGCCATTTTTATCAGACCATTCCTCTGAAAGGGAAAGTATATGCATTAAGGCCAGATCTTGCTTCCACTGATGTCCATAGCAAAACTCCCAACAATATAGACCCTCCTAATATATAGCTTATTCAGAAAACTATCTTCAAAAGTTGCATTGATACAAATGGACATTGAGCTTCTTAATCTCCTTTTTTCCATTAAGACTTTTAAGGGTGGGGGGAGCAGAAGCAAATATATTTATGGGAAATCCTTTTTTGTGTTATGTTGTGTTTCTAAAATATGGCATAAGTATTCACAGAACCTGCATTTGGATGGATGCCCATAACTGCATTTTAAGAATCTGAAGAAAAATAAATATGAAGCTAATAAAAGCTGGGAAATATAGATTTTCATTTTGGCTATAGGTTTGTAGGTAGTTGCTTGTATGTGGAGTATCAGTTATGAGGCCTTTGTCTTTTATCAAACATTTGGGTGCATATCTCAAGCTGTTTGGCCAATGCCACTCAAAAGTGTTTAAAAATATATTGTTGGTTTTGCGTGCAAATCAGCTCAAATAAACTGGTGCAGAGAAGCACAATAGGAGTGCTGATTTGTTTACAATGGGATGTGCTACATTAAACATTTTAGGTCTATATTTGTGTGTATATGTGTTCACGTATTATCTTGACTGGAATCTTTAAGGTCAATTGTCTATCAAGGTCAGTTGTGGCATTTTTTAACCTTGATATTATGACTTTAAACAGCCAGTATAAAAATAAATAGAAGATTCAGAAATGCAGACATCAGATGAATAAAATATTGGAATGAGAAAATAAACATGAGAGACCATGGGGTGCAAGGGAGGGACGGAGAGAGAAAGAAGAGAGGCAAAGGAGCAGACTATTGGTAAGTAGATTCCAAAGCAATAAGCCACTTATTTGGAAGCCTCAAAGATAACTAAACTACTTCCTTATGTCTTTCCTTTCTCCTTAAAGATGCTGACCTATATCAAGCTGCAGTCCCTGATGGTGGAAGGTCCACTTATAGTAGAGGGGCAAGCCATGCAAGTGGCCTTCATCTCCCACTCCTCTTGGGGATAACAGAGATGACCACTACAGCAATCTCCAGAACAGCCTCTTCCATTAGCACTCTAGTAGAGCTGGGCTGCCTTAGCAGAGATGATGCCAGAACTGCTGCTTTTCTTATCCCCGGAGCTGAACTCCTGTGGGGTGGGTGAGGAAACAAGGATACAAAATGCACAGTACACCATAACCTTGAGCTAATGGGTAAATCAGATTTTCTGTTCAGTTGTACAATATTTCATTGACATAATGAGCTGGACACATGTTGTCAAAGTGTAAGAAAGAGGGAAACTCAGAGGTGAACCCAACCTTCCCACAACAGGATTACATGCTGTTATTGGGGTTCAATCCCATGTATTCCGCACCTCTGATCTGATGGCAATTTGCTCTTTCTCCCCTATGTATGGATAGTCAACAGATAGAAGCAAATATCTACTGAAACATTTGCAATTTATTCTTGACACTATTTTAAACAAACTGATTAGTTACCTTTATTATTTTACACTTGAGAGCACACACTGTTTTGCTCTATGTCATTGTTGCATGACATTCCATTTGGCACAGAGTTTATTTTTAGCCAGAGACTATCAAAGTATTTTTCAGTAGGACTGTCACTGCACATGAACAAGGAATCATTATTGCAAGAACTTTACTGAAACAAAGAAGAAATATTGAACAAATGGGGAATTACAAATCTAGACCAACCCAAACTTGCACTGGTAATTAATGTTGCTTCAATCTGATTCATCAATAAGCAAATGTAGCTTTAGAAAATTTACTCATTGCTAATTTACTCTTGAATTCAAGGATAAGGTATTGTATTATTCTTGGTCTCTGTGAAGAATGGTTTGATACAAGTCATATTCAGTATGAAAGAAAGTGGAAGAAAAGACAGCAAATTTATTTAAATCATTAGATCATATTATATTAGATGTTTGTTGATTTAATTAATAGTCAATTAAAATATTAGTAAACCTAGAATTATTTGTATTCTATCTGATCAGATAAATACAACCTTATGAACTTAACTTTTCATTATTGAAATTAAAAAGAATTTCTCAGATTAATATATCTAATCAATATATATGGTATAGAGATATGTGTATTGTCTACAAGATTTTACAGAAGGAAAAAACACCTCACTCTTTTTGTAGAATGCATATGATAGCATTTAAATTTCAAATAGCTGTAATTTAAACTGATAATGTTAGTAGCAAAATAATGTATAATTTAACAAATTTGAAAGTGGAGTTGTTTGATTATTGGGAGGCTACGATTTGAGTGCTAATTTTTTGTAGGTCATGAAGTATACTATGAGTCCTCTGCTTTTTCTTGTTAGATGAATGGAAGAAGAAAGTTAGTGAATCGTATGCTATAATCTTAGAAAGATTAGAAGATGACCTGCATATCAAAGAAAAAGAATTTACAGAACTGAAACATGTATTTAGGTACATTTTTCTCTAAACTTGTGTATTATATTTAGAAACAATAATTAGCTTTTAAATGTTGGTCTAGTTGCAAATGTTTTTATATGTGCCAATGAGTGTTGCACATATGACTGGTCTATATCTGCTCTCTATTTATATCTTCTGTTTTCAGGAGTTAGTCTTATAAATCTGGGCCAATGTTTCATATCCTAGTACCAAGATTAATGGCTGTTGTTACTATTGGTGGGTGAAAACTGCCAAAATTCTACTGCAAATATATGCTTGACTTTTTAAATGAATTTGCTTTAGCAGTGTACATACCGCCTTTTGTTCATTCTCCAGAAATACTTTGGCAGACAAGTCTACTGGAAGGCATATTTGCAGATTTTTACACAAATATGCAGCCAGAATAGTTGCTGAAAGTAATTTCACTTTCCTACATGTAGCCACTTTCTGAGGATACCTGGTTCTAAAATTGCTGCTGGTCCACTAAGGTACCGTACTGTTACAGATCAGACATGACCATTGTCTAATGTAGTGAAACCATTATATTCAGGGCTGAAACAATAGAATCATAGAACTGGAAGATACTTTGTTGAGAGTTGTTCTAGTCCAATCCCCCTGCACTCAAGGCAGGACTATATATTATCCAGACTATCCCTGACAAGTGTTTGTCTAACCTGCTCTTAAAAATCTCCTATGATGGAGATCAATAACCCCCCTAGGCAAGTTATTCTAATGCTTAAATAACCCAATGGGAAGCTTTTCCTAATGTCCAATCTAAACTACCTTGCTGCAATTTAAGCCTATTGTTTCTTGTCCTATTAGTAGAAGTTATGAACTATTTTCTCCCTCCACCTTTGTAACAACAGTTGAAATAGCAGTAGCCCACAAGATACAGACTCATGGAAAAGAGGAATAAAAGCTGAGTCATGTGGAGATGGAATTCAAACACAGGGGCTGGAGCTTTGATTGATAGAGCTGTTTTGGGCAGGGGCAGAAGGTAATTGAGCACAAGCAGTAGTTCCACAAGACAGGCTAAAGCATCTACAGATGTCTAAGAAGACAGTAACAGAAGGCTGGTAACAGTCCAGAGAAAAAGGCCAAGTCTAGAGGTAATGTAGACT